CTTTTTCCCTGTCTGGCAAGGTCTCTGCACCAAGCCAGGCGTGAATGAGGAAAGGTTTTGTTGTGACTCCTCTGGCAAGGAGCAGCACCGAAATAAGCGCAGCTCGGTCAGTGACAAGTGCCGTGTCGGTGCATGGGGGCCTGCGAGACCCACACAGACCAAAGCACGCTGGAGAGGGAGGGGGGTGCTCTGGAGAGGCCCCCGGGCCCCTGGTTAGCGGGGGGGCCCCTGGGGTGGACCAGCGAGTTACAGTCTGGCTGCTTCAGGGCGGTGGGAACACGCATGAGGAGGAAAAAAAATCATAGTATGCCAAACTGAAATAACTGACTTGCTGGGGAGCTCCAGGCAGGTGCCTGCTTCTGTTTGGGCAAGTTGCAGGACCTATTTCCAACAGAGAACAATGAAATCTTCAGTTGTGGTATAGCTGTAGGGTTTTTTTTTCCTCATTATCTATGTTAAAATGACACAGAAATAGCAAGAAACATCACTGAGTGTAATGGCCTCCTCACAGCACTCGCAGAGAGGTAATATGCCCTCTAATGTTTCGTGTTAACAACCATGCTTGGGGATGACATTCAGCAGACTGAAATTGGGGTCAGCAAGTGCTTGCGGGCAGTTGTATCAGTGATTTTCCAAAAGCACTGCCTGATCTCGACTGAAGGCGAGACAGAACAAACAGGTCTTAACGCTGTTCATCAGAACAAACAGTTCTTGTAGGTCGTGGTTACTGGACCTGATGGTAATCACCAGGCCAGAGCGAGCATGAATGGATGTAGAAGTGCCTGTGCTGAAGTCAGAGTTGCTATTATATTCTTTGGTGTATGAGGTGACCCTCGTTCCCTCAGAAAAGGACGGAACGAAAACCTTAGCATAGGAGAGGCTGTGCACGTGCTTCCTTGGAGGAGCTCGTGGAGTGGAGTATGTCCCCGAAAAACCTCTAGAGCATGCTTAGGGAGCCCAGCCTACCCGCTGTGAAAGTCACCCAGGATCCCTGTGATGCTATGGGTTTCCCATGCTACCCCCAAGCAGAATAGAGGGGAGGAGGTAAGCCCTGCCTCAATTGCCATCTGTAGGTGGAGGTAAGGTTAGTATATGTAGACTGTCACAATGAAGGTCACTTAGAATCATAGAATAGCCCAGGTTGGAAGGTACCTCAAAAGATCATCTTGGCCAACTTTTCATAGGATTGCCCCATCCCAACGGATGGGTTATAGGTGAATTGTCACATCCTGATTTTTCTTTTTGGTAAACCAGAGGTTAATGCAAGACTTGTTTTTGTTGTTGTTATTATTTCTTGAGTGACATAAGAATGAGAGAAATCTGGATCTTTCTAACACAATATATGTACAAATCTCATTTTGATGTCATGAGGGCAGCGGGTGTTTTTTCTGAAGACACCATCACATACTCATGCAGCGTTATGTTAACAAGGTGTAAGGGGTCTGGTAGGTCTTTTGGGCGTATTTGGCCTCACTTGACCTTATATCTTTAAGAGGTCTTGAATGTTTTTCCAGCTAGCATTGATGTGTCTGTATCACATGCTTGGAATTAATTAATCCTCAGAACTGTATATTGGGGGGTTACAGTTTATATTCTGCATCTCTTTAAAACACTCCTAGAATAGGATATTGGAGCTTGGTTGTTTTTCAGTTTCATTTTTTTTAATGCTGTCTTGTTTTTACTTTTACAGTAGTACACCAAGAAAAATATATGTCCTGGCAGTAATAAATCAGTTAGTTACTGGTTTAAGGCAAGAAACCCACTAACCTAATTGCTCACTTAACATTCTTTTCAGATGGTACTTTGCTGATGACTTCTGTTTCTTCTCTGGACTAAGTTAATGTCCTTAGGCCCTGATTCTATTTTTAAATTTATTTTATGTGAGTAATTCTGGCATCTATGCTGAGTCTTGCTGACTTTAGTATGGTTCCTTATGGGTATTGGAAGAGCAGAGAAAAATAGAGACTATTTGTTGACTCAGTGTGTATATAATGACATGTATTGCTGGAATAAAGCCTTACACGGAAGAACTGTCTTGCATACAAGGACCTTTAAAATACTAGTTTGGGGTATCTGACCAATTCTGTCTTTATTTATTCAATCACATTTACATTTCTTATTGAATGGCAAACTCGTACAAACTGTTTAAAATGCTTGTCCACAGAGCTCAGCCAAATTCAAGGACATGTATGTAGTTTAAGATTTCTAATCTTCCAGGTATGAGAACCCTAGATGCTGGCTCCACCAATATTTGCTTAATCAGACCAGGATATCCTTAGGTAGACAGTGTTCCTTCCAAGGAAGGCTTGAGTTAATTGTGTTGAAGTGTGAACAGTTGATATCTTATTTCAAATCAAATTCTCAGAAAGGAAAGGGAAATTCCTAAGCCCTAGCTAGTGATGAAAGATTGAAGTGGTAGCTGGGCCACATGATTTAAGTATTTGAAATTAAAAAATAAATAAAAATACTGACAGTCAGTTCATTTGGATGGTGTGTGCTGGTTTTGTCACCCGGGCAGCTACTTAGTTATTGCTGCAGCAGCAAACATGAACTGTGTGTTGTCAGTATGTAAACATCTTGCCTTTGTTTTGATAAGCAGGCTTTCAGTTTTTCTTACACCTAGAGTGGCCATTTGATTTAAAGCAAAACATATGGTACCTTTACCATTAAAAGCGTGTATTTTTTAGTAGCACAGAGTTCATTCCACAAAAGAGGACACGTGGATGTTCAACACTAGAAAGTACGTTTATCAGAATCACTGACTTATTATAATACTTTGCTCTCTGAACTTGTTTTCTAGACTGCCTATTAAGTTTCCTGGGGTTTGTGTCACTTCCCAAAGCATTGTATTTGAAAGTTTGGGGTTTTTTTTCTGTTGCTGCCTGTTGTTCTCTGGGTGCAGTATTTATTGAAAGTATAATTAGTGCATTTCTGCCCTCTTTATCCAAACTGCTCTTCCTGTATTATGGAAGTACACAAAGATGAGGACAGAAATTCTCAGATTTGGACAGCACATGTTTGGCTTGGTAGGGTTTTTAATAGCTTTTGTCTTAGTTGCAGCATTCCTGGTGCAGAGGGGTCAGCATGTCGCGTCTTCCGTGCAGATCTGCTAGCTCTATCTCTGTTCTCTCTGAGTGGGGGAAACCTGGTGTTAGAGGCAGGGTGAACATCTGACTTTTCCTAGGGAAAGGGAATGTGACTGTTTTCCCTGTTTTCTGATAATTCCTGACCATTGTAGTGGCTATGCGGAGCCAGGTACTAGCAAACAGGAATTAGAGAAACACAGTTCTTGCTTCATGTGGCAATTTCTTCACAGTGGTAAATGAACCTGTGATCTCTGTGTTCAGTTCCATTTCAGTTTATATAAATTTTGTTTGGTCAGAAGCAACCGGTAAACAGCCTGCTGTTTGTTGTGCCTGATGGTCTCCAGTCAGCATTTAGGAGTGCAGCGTCAAGAGTTTGCCCCAGCACCAGCCTGTGCTGGGCTGGTCTAGCTCATCATCCTAACTGGACGCTCAGTAGATGGGACAGGTTGCCTTGGAGCCATTTCTGTCATTCTCAAGGACATTTTGAAGGCGGTAGTATAAGCTGTGCTATCTACTCTTGACGTGTAAATAAAACGGTGGTACAGAGCTCCAGGTATGTGGCAGGGAAGGTTAATGTTGGTCACATCAGTGTAGTCTTGGGAGTTTTTTGTTTTCATTGGCTTTTTGGGAAGGTTTCTGGGCTCACGCTTGAGAACGCAGACGAGTGACTACAGCAAAAATATAGATATATTTTAAGACTTTTTGTCAGTGCTTGGGAATGCCCTCAGCTATACTGAGTGTCAGTTTATAGCCAAAGTGGCAGCGGTTTGTGGTAGCAGGTCAGAATTGAGACATGTGCTGGGTCTGTACACCAGGTAGGAGTGGGTTTTGTTTTTCACTTGTCTTGTGCGGAGTGCATAGTGACATTTGGAGCTAGGAAGGCAAACTGTGTTTAGTGAAAGAACTGGAGAATGACAGGGCACAGAAGAAGGAGGCTATATGAAGCATGGTATGTTTTATTACCACTGATGTTATCAGCCATCCTGGCAGTGCAGGTGGACACTTTGAAACCAGCACAGTTATCAAGAAGCCCTTTAAAAGTCCTGTAGCCTTGTAGCTTGAATTATTAGCTGTGTTCTTTCTGTTTTCGTGTTGAGGGAGATGTATGTGTGGAAGAAGGTTCTGTGGGATCACTGAGCTTACTGAAAACATTTCACAACTTCTTAAAAAACAATGAACAAACAAGCAAGCAAAAGTAAACATTTCAGAAGATAGTTGTTCCTGCTACGTAGCAGAAAGCTCACATTTCCAAAGACCAGGGAGCATAAAACAGGGGTTAAATCTTACTGCCATTTTAACATGAAAGAAGCTTGTTATATGGTCAAAACCATTTTGATCCTAATTATTGGCCAGTAACATGAAGAACTCTGAACTAGGCCGTCAGACTGAAAGAACTTTTTAGTAGGGACAGCTGTGACAGGACAAGTGATAATGGTTCTAAACTGAAGCGGGGTAGGTTTAGACTGGGTATAAGGAAGAAATTCTTTACAATGAGGGTAGTTAAACACTGGAACGGGTTGCCCAGAGAGGTGGTGGAGGCCCCATCCCTGGAAGCATTCAAGACCAGGTTGGATGGGGCTCTGAGCAACCTGATCTAGTTAGCGGTGTCCCTGCTCATTGCAGGGGGGTTGGACTAGATGACCTCTAAAGGTCTCTTCCAACCCAAAGCATTCTATGATTCTAACTGGCTTTTGTGATAAGAGATGGGAATGCTGCCTTTCACATAAATTGCTTGTTCCACGTTACGTGTCTCAAGGTTGTTCAGTAACCAGATTACTGATCACTCCTCATTTAACTAAGTCACCTAAAAGTGGAAGATTTTGTTTTCTATTAGAAATCCTTTGGAGGTACCCAGAGCTTTCCTTATTGCTCAGCCTTTACTGTGCTCTCAGTAAAGCTGACGTACTGTGAGGAGATAAAGTTGCTTACAGTTTGGTGAGCTTACAGCTGTGATGGAAATCAATTCAGCTTTCTCTTAGCTTGCTGAAGATGCACCACTATATACTGCCTGTTGTTTTAA